CAATAATTTCAGAATAGCAGATCTTGACTTGCCTTCTCAATACCATAGAGGGATATAGAATTACAGCAATACTTCTTTAAGTCCCTCTTTCTCCCCCTAGCTTTCCTCACACTTTACAGTCCTTACAGATTAGCCCCCAAACCTTTCCTAACTATGACCCACCTGCTCTCCCACCTTTCTTCTGATTCTGCATCACAAAACTTTCCTAAACAGATCAGGGCAAAGGGAAGAACCAGGAAGGCAAAGCCAGAGTTCACATGAACAACTGAGAGGAGTAAGTCTGGGAACATGTAACTAACTTCTGTTACCTTGCATGATGACTGTGTGTCTCCATCCTACACTAGGCATTCTTCTATCTTACCTTATGTAATCTAATCCTCACAAATCTTGTGTGGCAGGTATTGAGATCTTCATTTTACTGATGAGAAAACCAAAGTCAGAGAAGTTTAATAACTTGCCTGGTATCATGTGATAGAGAAAATGCTAGTATCTGAGCCCAGGTCCGTATAGTTATCAACACTGTGCTCTTTCTCCTACATTCTACCCTCTGTAGAGTATAAATGCAGAAGCTCTATGTTATTTCAGTTGCCAGATTAATAAAACTCACTGTCTGGTATTTATATTAAGGCAATTAAATTGATTTTCAGCAAAGACCTTGAAAGTACAGTAGCTACCTAGAAAAGAGGATGCCTCCACCAAAAAACACTTGTGCAGTGGAATCTTTGCCTTGTTCAGGAGCATGGAGAGCTGTCCAGGCCTCCGTGCCTGCAGTCCAGAAAGATCCCAGCAAGGCCTGTGGGCCACCATTCCTAAGCATCAGAGGCAATGGCTTTCTGACTCTGTCAGTCTTTTAGCAGGTTTTACAACCAGCGGCACGCTCACGTTAGGCCTGGCCATCTGAGGCAGTGCCTGCAATGCTCAGAGATGGGAGCTCAGAGAAGTTTTCAGAAGTATTGAAAACTTTAAATCATTCCTTCATCACCAGAATAAATAAAGGTTCTTTTTGACAAATGTATTTGTTCAGTGTATGAATTCATGAACTTGATTCAGATAACCTTAGGAATAAAAGTGCGCAAGTCTGCATTTTGTGTCTACCTGGTAACACCTTGGCTGAAAGCTAGTGTTCATTTGAATAGTGAGTGGTGGAGGGGAAAGGGTCTGAAAATGAAAGAAGGCACAAGAGACTAGAGAAGGAAAAATAGCTAAATCCAAACCTAAGCAAATACAAAGAGAAATTCAGAGTAATAACTGGGGGAAGGTAAAGCAAAATAGATGTGACAGAGTGAGTGCAGAAAGATAAGTTAGAGCAGAACTATATGTGAACTGAAAACAAAGAAGGCAAGAGAGAGAAATGTACTATAGATAGACAAAAATACAGAGTCATGGGCAACAATAACACCTGGTGTTAACAAGATGCAATATAGATTTCTGTTCTCATCCATGATGGTGTCAAGGCTTTCTCCTGAATTTCAGGAGAAAGTTAAGTCTAGTGTACAGAGAACTTTTAATGTGAGTTCTTTTGCCACATGCCTGAGAATGTATTAGTTACATCAGGAGGAAAATCATTTGAAAGCAGAGGTACTAATATTTACCATCATCCAAGTTGCCCCTTAAACTGTGAAAGGCCAGAGCGGAGTGAAATGAGCTTAAGATAGATTCTACGGGAGTGGCCCACCCAATGATGTTATCACAAATGAGTCACTGCCAAACGCATTCTTCACATCTTGTAAAAGATGTTTTTCAACTTTGGAAAGTTTGCAGTGGAGATTTTTTTTAAAGACCATGCACTCACAGAAGAGCAGTTGATACTTTTCCTTTGTAGAGCTGCTATGCTTTTTAAACGATCTGCCCAGTTTGGAATGTTACTTGACTTCTAAGTGTTCTATATCCACAGCTGATGACTTTATGTACTCCTTGCTTTCAGTTCCTGAGGCATAATATATGTTGATCTGATTAAAAATAGCATTCAAATGAAATGGTTGGGTGTGTTGTTATAATATAAGTCAGCTACAAATGGGAAGTTCTTTCCTCAGGAAATTTGATAAACTTGAGTACTTGAGTGTTTATATATATTCTGTGAGAAATTTTTGTCCTTCCTCATGGCTTCCTTTTCAAAATTACCAGTTAATCTGGGCTTCCCACCCAGACACATATTTTAGCAGTTGTACCAGTTAGCTGAGGTCTGTTATGTTAGCATGATAAAAGAGCCTGGGTTAAATGTTTACCAGCAGAGCCTGTGAGTGTGTAGAATCTTAAAGGAAGGCAGAGTCTTTTTTAGTTCAAGTATTGGATATTTTAAAAATAAGAAGGGATGGTTTTTATCCCTTAGGTCTTGGCCCTCAGCAACATGTGAAAAGCTCCCATTTTTTATAAAAGGAGGGAGAAAGCATAAAAATTTTTACTCGACATTTTCTCCTCAATGCCAAACTTACAGAAAGCCTTAACGCTTGAGGTGGCCCACAGACATATGTTGTCTAGTACAGTGTTTTCTAAAAATTTGAGCCAGTATTTGAAAGGATATTTCACATTTTTTAAAATGCAGATATATGGCTTTTCTTTAAAAATAGGATGATCTGGCAGCACAAGGCCAACATGGCCTCTCAGCAGCCATGGTTGGGGCTGGAGCTGCATAGTGACCACCTCTGCAGGTGGTTTCTGGGTCCTCCATTTGGTTCCCTGTGGGTCCCCACATCTGTAGCCTGTACCCACAACTACTGGTTGACATTCATAATCACTGCGATCACTGCAAATGCACTGTAGATTTTTGTAAAATTGACAAGAATTTTTCTGTACCCATTTGGTAACGTGAAAGAGACAGAGGGGTATAATGTCACTTGCTCCGAGCTCACCTCACTTGTCTATTAGCTGCTCTGTGGCATGTGATCTGTACCTGCTGCTGTTCATCCTCTTACACCCTCTTTTCACCCTACTGCAGTTGTATTTCCACTGCTGCTGTTTTGCTGTAGCAGCCATGTGCCAAATTAGAGCTTTCTCTTGTGTGACAAGCCCTTTCTTGGGTCCCCGTGCTCCGCTACCTCTTTGACAGTTGATGATAGGGTGGTTGACCAGCACTCCCTCTCAACATTGTCCTCCCCTGGCCTCTGTGACTCTACTCTCTCTTGCATTTTCTTCTGCTTCTCACTCAGCTCTCTCAACCTCTGCTGACTTTTTCAGTTACTGTATCCCTTTATCAAGTATTACATGAACATTCAGATATTTTTTTAATTCAGACAATAGAGAGGTATGTACAGTCTTTTTTAAAAAAGTATCCTCCTTCCCACTCTCCTTCTCAGACTTAATTAATCATGGTTCAACCCTGGAGAGTTGTCTTTTCCTGACCCTCTTCCATGTCACCTGGCTTGTTTGTTGTTGTTTAACATAAATAGGATCATTTTATAGCCAACACTGTTACTGATCCTGGTCTGAGCAAATCCTCTACCTTACCTGTTTTATGATCTGCCAGCTACTTAAATGTTGGTGTTTCCCAGCATAGCATTTTGAGTAATTCCAGTGCTTATATCATTTTTTTTTTATAATTGTACATCTGTTTTTTCTAAGACTCAAAGCTGGTAACAATAGTGTCTTCATGTTCCCTTGTCTATACATACCTGTAAATTCAGTAAATGAATGAATGAATGTTGGCATTTTTTCCCATTCAGTGAGATCATCCAAATTTATATTATGCAGAGAATACTAAATTATATCATAATTTAAATTAAAATGTAAGCTCCATAGTAAACATATTAGTGTAATTATTATAAGGTATAGTTAATCTCTTAGGTCATTTCCTAATAGTAATATATCAATTTTGCTTTTCTCATTAAGATTGCCGTACTATTCAAAAGAGAATTCTGCACACTATTTTGGATAGGAGAAGTATTGGTGGCTAGTTGTTTTCTGTTTTGTGTATTTTGAATGAATGCATATTTTGGCATCTCACCAAGACAGTATGTTGTATGCAATTCATTCTTCATAAAAGTATCCTTTATCTTTAAAGGGAATATAAATGCATAATAGTTATATAAAGAGAATTGCCTTAACACAGCATCTCTTCAGTAGGAAAATAGTTGAGGTTTATGAAATGAGCCTTGTCAGATACAATTTGACCTTTCTTGCTAAGGGTTCCCATTCAGTATCATGTGCTGTTAACAGCCCTGATTAAGGAGAAACCAATAAAAACATCTATCATCTGATAGCCATGGGATGTCATCCAAGCTTGTGTCATGGTCCTGTAATGTTCCCGGGTTTGTGGAGTGAAGAAAATAACACTTGGGTATTTGGAATTTATTCTTAAGCTGTTTTTGTCAGGGGTGGATGAGTTTCTCATTCTTGAGTTGAAATGAGACTTTTAAATATTCTTAATAACTCTCTTATCACCAGACCCTCTGCATGAGACACCAAGGGTGAGTGTTTGAGAATAATATTTTTTAAATTTATTTGGGTATTTTTTAAAGTGAGGGAGGTGAGTCTAATTTATGATCAATAATGAGATGAAGTCAGTTGGTCACTAACAGTCCATATCAAGCCATGACCCCTGCTTGTACAAATTTGAGAAACATTTATAAACAAACACAAACTAGGTAGTGAAGAAACAGGAAAATGGAAACTACACAAAGTCCTTGTGTCGGTAAAACTAATTAAAAATCTGCCTAAGGGGTTCATGGAGTGGCTGAAAGTCAATTTAATATGGGTCATGGTCTTAGGGAAGGCAGTCCAAGTACTGTGTTTTAAAGACAAGTTCAGAGAGGAAAGAATATTCTATTTCAGGGACTGTCATAAAACAACAATTCAAGATTTAGTTGGAGACTTAAAGTTAGTTCATATTATGGAAGGATTTAAATGTTGGAATAAGAATTTGAGTGACTTCAACAAGGAACAGAAAAGGAATAAAATGATTATGCCCATAGTGATACCTGGTATTTGTAGATGTACTATACTTTATAGACTCCTTTTAGGAATGTTGTTTTATTTTATCTGCACTAAATCTTAATGAAAATTACAAGCCTTTTTGAAGTCTGAATCTCCAGGATTGCCGTTGGCAAGCTGGGCCTGGATGCAGGGATTAAGGGGAGAGAAGAGAAGGAGACAACTCTCTCTGAGTTTCTGGGCATCCAACTGAAACAGGGAATGGAAAGAGGCAGTTTGGGTGAGAAAAGATGATTGAACCTAGCCAAGACTAGTGAGGAGAGCTGCTGACAGTGTTAAATGTCAGGTCCTGGGGGATGAGAACAGTGAAGTTAAGAGGTTGCTGGTGAACTCTGCAAGAACATTTTTTGCAGTTTGGTGAGCTTGAGAGCCAGAGTCTGAGTGGCATGAGGCAGAGCTGGATGGTTTGAGAGAGACATAGTTAGGCAATGGAGGAAGCTGATGGACTCATGGGGAGAAGTAACCAAAAGAGAAACGTGAGGGTCAAATGATGCTTGTAAATCAGAGAGATGCCACGATGCTACAGTTTAGACAAACAGCAGCATGACAGCATGAGATCATGTTCTGTGTTGTTTATTTGCAGTTTGTTAAATTTTACATCCCTCAGGAAATAGCTGTGGCTCAAAGGCAGGCATCTTTGGGTAGAGGCACATGACAGCAGCATCAGAGAAAGCTAGTCAGCAGTGGCAGCAGCAAGGCAGCAGACTAGGTACTCATTACCATGAAGGGAGCTGGGCCCTTGGGGTAGGCTGTGGGCATTGAACATCACAGTCCACCAGATTGGCCAAGCATCTTGCAAATTAGTGGTACCAACATCTAACAAGTGTGATCGTTACCACTGAAAACATAACTCAGAGCTCATGCCCATAGGGTTGTCTTCATATACAAATATACCTTTTTTATAAAGAGTATTTACAATGTTAAGTCCATAATCAGCTTCATCAGATCAACCCAGCCACCCTCATGCCTGAAGTACTCAGAATGCTTTGTGTGTTGGGTGTGTGCTGCTGCTGTGCTCAGCACCCACCTGGATTGATGTTGCACCCAGGAATTGCACGAAGGGAAGTGGTAGATATGTGGGTTTTCTCCCAGTGGTCCATCTGTGCTTCTTTTAACCCTTCACCATGCCATTTCTGTGCAGGTTTATTTGGGGGGAAATACTGCAAGACTGAAATACATAGCTTTTTCTTGGCATGGTGAACCCCTGCATTGGCGTGGCATGAGATAGTTGTCTGCAGATTTCTGGAATTCAAATAAATGGCATCGAAAGGAAGAGGGCTGTCAGTCTTCAGGTCATCTGTGTGCTCTTTGCCATTCTCACAGTTAGCTGATTCTTCAGGGCACATGTGCATAGATGCAGCATTTTTGGCCCTGATTCTTGCTTTCAGAGGCTGGCCAGAATCACAGCCAGGCACTGTTGTAACCATACAGTGCCCCAATGGAGGAATCATGCAGCTCTTGTTGGAATCTAAAGAGAGACACTTTGTCATTTTTTTATTAGGGATGCTTATAAAAATTTTCTTCTGGATTGAAAACAATAATAACCAGAAACCATTAGTTATTAACCCAAGCTGTCCACTTTTAAACTCAATCCAGCATTTAAGAAAAGCAATGTATCTTTGCCAAATAACTTGAGGTCTTTGTGTGTGGAGCTGACAGATGGAGTCCATTAATGGTGGATGCACACAGAGTCCAGGAGAGCATCCTTGGGCCATGAGGGTTTGCCAGAAAGTTAACAAGGCTGGATTCAGAAGGGTTGTGGACATAGACAATCAAACCAGTGAAATAGCATGCAAGGAGAGTCTTTTTTCAGTGGGTTAGCTACCAGGGCATTTATTGCAACTGCTTTAAAATGAATTTATCTTATATTCATTTAGTTTGGGCCATATTATAGAAGTAACTTGCAGGATAAAAGGACTTTTAGTACAATAGTACTTGAGAAACGAAGAGGAAATAAATTGTCTTAAATTTTATCCTTGAATGTTGTCTGTTACTTAACAGTATTATTTTCTATAGCTTGAGTGGTTGGGATAAAAATTTAAAGAATAGAGCTCCCTCAACCAAACAGAAAATATGGCATTGCTATTTTTTTTTAAAAAATGAAAATATAGACAAATATAAAGAAAAAGCTAAAAATTATCCAAATCCCACCTATGTACACAGGTAGAAATATATGATTTTATGTAACTGGGATTGTACTCTATAAGCTAATCTATAATCTATTTTGATCACTCCTATGTTGTTGAATATAATTTTACATGCCCGCATAAAATTCAATTGTACATGTATATCCTGTTAATTTATTCATGGTGACATTCATTCAGTAAAATATTTTCTGTCTTACCATGTAGTAGACACTATGCTAAATTCTGGGGATGCAGCAGCAGACTTCTCTATCTGTGGATATTTAGATTATTGCTGATTTTTTTTTTTGTTAAAGGCAACACATACTGCAACATGTGTCTTTGAATACTTTGTTTTCTCCTTAGAATAAGTTCCTAAGAGAATTGGGTGGTCAAGGAGTTTGCATATTTCGACGTTTGCCCCATATTTATTGCCTAAACACTCTCTACTGAAAGTGTCAGATAATGCTAGTTTTTCCATATTCTCATAATAATACTTTTTATTGGTTATCATCTTTGCAAACTCGATAGGTGACAAATGATACTCTGCATTTTAACTTACATTTCTTTGATTTTTAGTGTGCTTGGAATGGGAGTTTTAACTACTAAGAAATTGTGACCTCCGTTTGATCTATGGAGTACAATTTTCTTTGAGTCTTAATTTTATTTCTCTTAAAAAGGAAGATCTTTTTTCACTTCCTTCTTCAGGGTCAGGTTAGAATCAGTGACAGGTTGTCTATTTCAGGCAACTGAATCCTCACCTAAAGAATGCTGTATAAATATTACTACTGACTTAAATCTAGTTGGTTTTAGCATCATATAACTATCATCAGAGCTTTTACTCTAGTTGTTGGTATGTCATAAGGAAGATTTACCCTTTGAGTTAAATATGTTTAAATTTGTATGACTTGATTAATTGCCTTTTGTTTTCAATAAATGCCATATTTTTTGAGAACATAAAAGAACAAAGAGGCATTTAAGGAGTACCTAAAAAAAAAGAAATCTTAAAGGTAAATGCCTAAAAATATATGGTCTTCGTTTAGCTTGTCGTTTAAATGTGTAGCATTTAAAATTTTTAAAAATACTGTTTATTTTCTGGCCACAAGTGAAATTCAGCAGTAGCTAAACAAGACAGATAGATATGCTGGGCATGGTGGCTCACACTTGTTTTCCCAGCAAGGGACTGTGTTCTCTTTCTGGCTCCATGAGGGGGCATAGTTTTAAGAGCAAGAATTTCCCAGCGCCATGCCCCCTTCCCATCTCTCTCCATCCGGGAGATTTAACGGTTTGTGTTTGAATTTCATGGGCGCGGGAAGAAACTAAGAGTCAATCACCCCAGCGGAAGTTTAAAAGAACTCCTTTCATTGGCCAGAGGAACTTGGGAAAGTGGGAATTTTCCCCACTATAAATTCCCCTGCTCCTTCACCCACACCGGATTTCCAGCTTTCTGGAATCCCCTCCCACATGGTGGGAGCTCCCTTTCACCTCTGGAATCCCCTTCCACACTCTTCGTGGAAGCCTTTCTCTTCTTTTCCTTTCCTTCTCTTTTCTCTACTTAAATAAAATCACCTTTCTGCAAGACTTCTTGGGTCCGATATTTACTTTTACGAGCATACGGTGCACCTGCAGTGGCCTCACCACTTACTCTTTATGAGGTTGGAGGCCAAGAACTCACAGCATACTCTCAGGGGAGCTGTGCCTCACTGGCACTCAGGAAAAAAACCCAGTTACACCAGCACTTTGGGAGGCTGAGGCAGGTAGATTGCTTGAGCTTAGAAGTTCAAGACCAACCTGGGCAACATGGCAAAACCCCCTCTCTACAAAAACTACAAAAATTAGTCAGTGTGGTGGCACAAGCCTGTAGTCCCAGCTGTGAGGCTGAAGTAGGAGGATTGCTTGAAACCCAGATTGATACTTCACTGGGCTATAATCACACCACTGTAGTCCAACCTGGGCTTCAGAGAGAGACCCTGTCTCTAAAAAGAAAAAAGAAGTACTCAGAGAACAGAATATAATTCCTTTCTTGAAGTTCCAATACTCAAAGATGACCAATGTCTCTGGCCTTTGGAGTATTTTATTCTAGTATTTTTTTCCTCTAGTTTTATATTTTATAAAAAAGGAACCATACTAAGACTGTACAGCATTTTGAATCTCAGCAAATGTATATACTTAGTTATTAACAGTGAGAGGGAATGGTTACCTAGATTTTTTTTTTGTACTGGTTTAATGGGGAATTTTGTTTGTGTTGCTATTTATAATAAAATTATTACTGGAATGAAAAGTATAATTGAAAGACATTTTAGACAATTAAAACTATAAACATTTCAGTTCTTCCTAATTCATTGTTCAAATCTGCTGCTTTTTATGCAATCAGAAATAATATGACCATTTTCTGTTATTTAGGAAGATGTTTAAACAGTTTACAGGCAGCAGGAGACTGCAGCTGGAGCCATTTCCTGCTGCTTCTGTTCCTGGAGAAGATGGAGGTGTTAACTGTTAGGCTGACTGAATGTGAACTACCTGAACAGGTGTCTGCTCTGAATCTTTCTCAGCTCTCTGGCTCTCATCGGGTGTGATTGAGCTGCATTTCATGAGATGGTTGTGTTATTGAATACTACCAAAATTAAATTTTTCTTTATTAAATCTGTTTTAAGGGAAGCCAGCTCTTCAAAGAAGCCTATTAGGAAATCTTTTTAAAGCACACCTGTGTACATACACACATGCAGAACTGTGAATGCACCAACTTACCTGCCTTGCCTATTGAGATTACCCAGGAATTACATTTTATAATTTTTTTGAAAGTTGAGAACTCACCTGTTCTTAGCATTCATGCAGATGTGTTCAACAGTCAAATCCTTGCTTGCATTTCTGCCCCATATACAGAACTTCTATGTGAATTCATTTTAATGGAAAGTGAATTATTTTTATTTTATTGCCATCTCCCACTTTTAGTTATAGAACAAGTATGGAGTTGTTTTGAAGGCTCAGAACAATAGATTTTTTTTAATATTTATTATGTTTGTCACTGGGTAAATTTGGGTTTATATAATATTTTCTTTTTCTTTGCTGAATTTTAGTGAGAATTAATTCAGATACGTATAAAATGCCTCACACATGCTTGGCTCGAGGTAAATGTTCTACACAGCTTTTTTTTTTTTTGAAATGGAGTCTCGCTGTCTTGTTCAGGCTGGAGTACAGTGGTGTGATCTCAGACCGCTGCACCCTCTGCCTCTGGGGGTTCAATCGATTTTAATTCTAAACAGTATATATTATTCTATACTATGTATATAAAATTTTTGCATAATTTTTTTCCATTTCAGATTTTTATTTCCAACCTTTCATTAACAGAGATCAAATTTTACCTGTATTTAATTTAGAACTTGAATTATTATTATTATTTTGAGATGGAGTCCCATTCTGTCACCCAGACTGGAGTGCAGTGGTGCATTCTCGGCTCACTGCAACCTCTGCCTCCCAGGTTCAAGCAATTCTCATGCCTCAGCCTCCTGAGTAGCTGGGACTACAGGCATGTGCCATCATGCCCAGCTAATTTTTGTATTTATTGTAGAGACAGTGTGTCACCATGTTGACCAGGCTGGTCTCAAACTCCTGACCTTGTGATGCACCCACCTTGGCCTCCCAAAGTGCTAGGATTACAGGTGTGACCCACTGCGCCTGGCCCGAACTTTAATTATTATTTTATTCTTCTCCCAGGAAATTCTAGAAGCTTGCAGTGAGAAAAAATCTTTTTAGGCTTCAGGTTTTTGCTTTGTTTTGTTTTGGGTGAGAATCTGTACCTCATCAATGAAAATGGCTTTATCATTTCGCTTTCTTGTTCTCCTTCTCACTTTTGTCTTTAGAATTATAACAACTCATAAAACCAGAGCCAATTCTGAAAATTTACCCAAATGTTAGGTTTTGTTTTCTCCCCACTATTTTGACCTATTTCTAAAATGTTGAATAGGAATAATGTTTGAAGTAAGTTGTTGATGTGGCGTCCCTTTAGCTTTTCAACTCCTCCAGAGCAAATGTACTTTCTCTTTACAAAGTGAACATAAGTCAAGACAGCAGTGAAGCACCCTGGCGTTGGGACACAGTGAGAAATTAAGGTTTGCCAGTGCTGGTTCCAGGGTAGTCTGATCTCTGTACTTCAGCTCATATCTTGCTGGGACAGATCTGGGGGAAGATCCATCTCCCTCAGATTTCTTGATACTTCTGTGCCTTCTGCCTGGCAAGGGCGTCAGAGCCATGGGAACTTAGAGGTAGCAAGGGCTCCCCACCCATCCTCAACCCACTTGCAAGTTTTAAGTCACACCTCTTTGATGACACTCTGGCATCCATGCACTTTCTCTTACCACATAGTGAGGATCTCTGTTAATAGCTAACATTCATCCAGCACTTCTAAGACCTTTAATATTTCACTGCTGTTTTTCGGAAGTCCTGTGAAATAGGGGTCATTGTTACCTCCATTTTGTAGACAGCAAAACTGAGGCCTAGAGAGGTAAAATAACCGATTTATGTCTGCAACTTCTCATTATGGTCTGGAGTCTGTTGGAGTCCTTCATGCTAGCTCTTAACCACAGCACTCAATACCTCTTTCCTACAAGCAAATTCCAATAAAATGAAAGTTGAAGGCCGTAAAAAGTATTTGAGAAACACGGGGATTTTATTTATCAGGATTTGACCTACATTCTTTCTGGGAATATTGTCAAGATGCGATATAGTTGTAAATGAGGCTAGTGCAGTATGATTATTCTCTCAAGTTTGCATTTCATTAGCTGGAGTCATTTGCTCATGCTGTGTTTTGTAGAGTCTTCCTGAAGCTGTTGGGTTCTCTGGTGGTAAGTTTAATATCTTTTTTAAATTGCTGTGAGTTAGGCCTTGGTAAAGTTCAACTGGGTTGGGTGGGGAAGCTCTTTGAACTATTTCAAAAATCATTAAATTACAGATAATCACAGATCTAGAAGAGGGAAAATATCAATTATTTAACTTTAAAAGCAAATCCAACACTGTATTTTAGAAATTACTTGCAAGACAGTAAGTCCATGATTTTACAACACAATTGCACTTGTAGGTTTAAAATTAGAGGTAAATAGCATAGTAAATCTCATTCAGTAGTTGTTTAATGAATGAATTAATTATGTTGTTTATATAATTTTGAAGAACCAGAAAGATGAGTGAGGCAATCTCAATGTGTAGGTGAGGGCAACAATCGTGTATAATGTCTACTTGGCACTTTATAGAGGGCATGACTATCTCCATAAAAATATTTAGTATGCTCATGATGTCTTTTATCTAAAGAACTTCATGCTTTAGACATTAGTTAATTCTCAAAACACTACTCTGAGGAAGGTGGGTAAATTAGGGACACACCCCTAATTTATAGATGAAGAATTTGCAGTTGAGACTGGTTAAGTGTGACTAACTCAAGATTGATTAACACTGGTGGTAGGAGACTTGTCTCTGGCCTCATTCGGTGCCTGTGACCTGCTCTTTGACCTTCGGGAAACTTTATAGCCTCCTCCTGTCCAGCCTCCCTCCCTTAAAAAAAAAGGAACATTTCTGATTTAATTACCCCCTATAAAGGAAGTGTGATAATTTAGCTGTGTAAGCATATTTTGTTTCTAAGTATACAACTAAAGTATTTCTAGCCATTTCTCCCCAAACTTTTTTTCTTCACACAGTTCCACAAAGTGCACACCAAGCAGATGGTACAGACAAGCACATGGGTTATTTACAGCCAGTACAGTAGAGGAAGGCGTATGTGCTAAGCCCTCTTATACCCACTCCCTGGGAGCCATTAACACATCCATTTAGATGAAAGAGTCTCAGGGTTTTGCCATGGGCATTTCTGCTACACTCCCCTGAAGCATCACCATCTGCCCTGCCTCCTCCCAGGGGCCCTGTCATCCTCCCACTCCTACCCAGCCAGTCACAGCCCTGTTCTTCCGAGTGCCCTCATTCACTTAGATACAGAGCTGATAGCAGCTGCTCTGTTTTTCACTTGAGTCAGTTTAGCTCTGTGTCTATCTGACTTCCTTCTACCTCCAAGGATGTAGAAGGCTCTCTTTTTTTTGAGACAAAGTCTTGCTTTGTCATCCAGGCTGGAGTGCAATGGCACCATCTCAGCACACTGCAACCTCTACCTTCCGGGTTCAAGCAATTTTTCTGCCTCAGCCTCCCAAGTAGCTGGGGTTACAGGTGCCTATCACCATGCCTAGCTAATTTTTGTATTTTTTAGTAGAGACGGGGTTTCACCATGTTGGCGAGGCTGGTCTCAAACTCCTGACTTCAGGTGATCCACCTGCCCTGACCCCCCCAAAGTGCTGGGGTTACAGGTGTGAGCCACTGTGCCTGGCTGAAGGCACTTTAAAAGGCTACCCTTGGGCCAATTCAGTTCCCTACAGTTCCGTATGAGCACTGTCCACATTTTAAGCTGGGCCCTGGGGTACAGAGGGTCACAGGACGTGGTCCCTTGGAGTCAGTACATTTGTTTCTTCCTTTGTGCTGCGGTTTCAAGGCTACACCTGTGATGTCTGGAGAGCCCACAGCTGTTGGGCAGTAAGACCACATGCATCAGCTGGACCAAACACCAGCTTCCACTTCCTCTACCACTCACTAAGGAATTATTAGGTTCATGTTTTTCTTCCTTCTTAAATAGTCTCCCCAGGTGAATAATTATTCATTGTATTTAAAGAGCAGCAATTCAGAAATGTTTTCTACCCAAAATGTTTGTTGGGGTGGTGGGCAAAAGACTTTGTTGATACCTAGTCCAGCCATTTCTGCTTATCAGCCCCACTCCCTAAAATTAATTTTTAAACAAGCATTTCAACTAGAATTTTTTTATAGTGTTGGAATTGAAAGAGACTTTTACAAAAATCCATTCAGGTGAGCTAGTGTAGGAGTTTTCTTGACCACGTAATTTTAATACATGCAGTATTTTTAGGGGCATTGCTGTTTTCAAGGTTACTACACACATGTCTTCATTTGTGCCTCACAACAGTATTTGTAAATTGACAGAATAAGCTCATCAGCCCTGTCTTACTGGTGGAGAAATAGACAAGTACTCCGGATGTGGTCAAACCAGGACATAGTACATTGATCAGATATTGACTCCTTTGGTTTCTCTGGTTTGCCACCATCCTGGCCTTGTGCACATGATGTTTTAAAACCCTACATGTAGTATTTTATATGTAACCCTATCAAATAACAGCATCTTGGTGATTCTTCCAAATTGTCATCCTTCAAGTGTTGAGTTTGTCATCCAAAGGCCTGCAAGTGTTGTTTTTTTTTTTAGTTTACTGTTATATTACTTTATATTACCATAGATATTCTTGCTATAATCATTAGTATTGCAACATAAACCTATCAGAGATACTTCATATGAAGAGAGTTTGTTGTTATAAAATAGATCTCATAGAATCTAAAAACAGGAAATAGTGATGAGGGAGCCCTCTTGGGAGCCAGAAAGCCATGAGGAATGAAGCCTACTCTCCACATCTAAGTCTGTAGACCCAGAGCTAGACTCTGGGTCTTCTGTCCGTCTATTGCGTTCTTCCTGATCTGTAGACCAGCTCCCTCTGCTTGTCCTTGGGCCATAATGGACCCTCCAGTGCCCAAAGCTAATCTATATAATCTGATGATTTAGCAACCCTAGCAATACCTTCTCCATTTTCGAATCCCGAAGTCCTGGCTGAACAATCTAATTAGTTTAACTTATCTTTTTAAACAAAATACAACTTGTAGGTTTCTAGCCAGCATAGGGATGAGCCTCCCTTGCATAAGTTGTTCAACCCTGCTTCATCATATGCAAGGTCACCCCTCCCCTCACCATATGTAAGGTCAAGTAAGGTCAGAACAGATTCCCAGAGAAGGGAATAAGGGTGGGGCAGTCACCCAAAAATGTACAGATATGCTTTGAGAGACCATGAAATATAAAACTACATTCTGCCTTTTGTCTTCAAACAAGTCTGTGAAACTGGATTCAGTTAGAATAAGGAGCTCAGAAGCCATTTGACCCATATTGTTCAGTGTTTACAGTACTTACATTTACAATGCTCCCTTCAAGTTACGACCTCAGGAAGCATTAAATCAACCAATGTATGCTGTCTTTTTTCTTCTTACACATACGAATGTGAAGCCCAGTGAATGTGAAGCCCAGTGCCTGGGTGCACTCACACCCACTTCCACACATGCCTGCATAGCCCTGTTCCCTGTGCCTCCAGTACTTACATTCCGATCCTTATATTGTATGCATACCCTGCAAGCTCTAGAACCTGCTACTTACTACCCATTATGGCATGTTTGAAACCTTTCCTTTTGAAAGTTTCCTCTAAACTTGATGGCTTATGTAAAATTAAAGTCTGTTTTGTTTCCTGTAATTCTAACCACTTAGTAAATCTAAAGAAATTCATAAATGAAATCATATAGCATAAAAAACCATTTCTGTATCTTGTGTACCTAAAACTGAGCTCCCAGAGTTAACAGCGACTGACTACTTGTATATTCAGCAAAGGCAGAGGCAGAGGACAGCCATGTTTGCCACATATATCAGCTGGTGCTGGGCAAGGTTGGCTCCCATGCCAAGCAGCTCCAATTATTCTTTAGTAAAACACACTTTTATTCATTGAGGAGCAGTTGCTTGCCAACGTATTATACAATTATATAGTGAATGGATAACAATGGATGCATTGTAGAAATATTTTTAAAACAAGTAAACAACAGTGGATAGGAAAAGGACCCTAGCTCCCAAGTGAAGACTGCTGACATGTGGGATTTAGCAAAGTGAGAGTGTAAGGAATGGTTCAGAAGGACTGAATGCTTTGTCTCAAACACCTCTTCCTGGAAGGGCCCCCAGCAGCATTCATTTCTGTTCCACCCATGGGGTGGGTTTGCAGGGAGGCACAGGGAGCAGGGCTATGTAGGCATGTGTGGAAGTGGGTGTGAGTGCACCCAGGCACTGGGCTTCACATTCGTATGTGTAAGAAGAAAAAAGACAGCATACATTGGTTGATTTAATGCTTCCTGAGGTCTTAACTTGAAGGGAGCATGAACATAAATGTAAATTTTTCAAGGGGTTAGAGTTTGTGGGTTTGGGTGACTTGGGATGAAATAAGGCTGAACTGAAATGTCTAAAAGATTTACAGTTCACACAGGAGGTAACTCTTGAAAGTGTTTTCCCTGATCAGTACCACAGAATATTCAGTATTTTTACCAGACCAACATCAAGTGGATCCACATCCCAGGACTGATTGCATTTGTAATTTAATTCTGCCTGGATGGCCCTGGGATACTCTCAAGGAAGGCCTTCCGTGAATCAGAGGTTTTTCTCTTCCCATTCCAGTGACAGCCAAAGGCTCCCTTGTTAGAACTGATGCCAGCAGATAAGGAGACCACCTTTTTCCTTACCTTCATAATGTATATTCCCGTATTTTCATCCAGTTAGTAATATAAATCTTCAAACCTTAATGCTTATTCATTTATTATAGTCATCTCTGTCATATTATGAACAAGATAAGATTCAGATTACAAGGCAGTTTCACTGAATTTTTGTTACTCTCTTTGAGCTGCAGCCATCTGACCAGAGAGCTACTACCTTCACTGAAAGAATTGTTTTTTGTAAAGTAAGGAAATCAGTCATTATTGCCTATTTGATGGCAGTTAGAACTAAAACCTAGGTTTTTCTGACTCCTGAGGTGTCTTAATGTTACATCTGTTGTTTCCATACTTTAGTCATTTGTATACTACCTTAATGATTTTTGCCACATCTATATGCCACCTTTTTAAGGGAAAACATATAAATATTTTCCCTTCAATTCATTTTTTCTACTAAGCTAAATTTTCAAAAGAAAATTATATGACCATCTCAAGTAGAAAACCAATATCCTTTGATATAAATGACAGCCATTAAAATCGGTAAGGGAAAATAAGAGAGGCCCATGCCTGAGGAGTCCGAGTCTAAGGCTACCCCTTCCCAGTGAAGAGGGGGATTGACAGATGTTAGAGGGTGTCACCCACAGGCCAGTATCTGGCTGAGACTTTGGTGCTTGAAAAATATTGGAAAATAAGGTTCTTGTTTTGTGGTTTGATTTTATTTAGTGCCATCTAACATCTGCCATGTGCCTCTGAAATAACCTGGTGTATCCCTAGGAGCTCACAACATTCACCATCCACAAAGCAACATGACTAATCCAGAGAACTCAAGAGACTCTTGCTTATTCTTCACTTATGCTGATGAAAAGTGCACATGGATATGGGGAAACTTAAATGTCTCTCATTGGTTACCCACTGAAGGTAACCGTAGAGTAGAGAGTGGCAGTCATGCATGATGCCTCCTGAGAACTGCTTCAGTTTAGTGGAACTGACATTAGTTGTGTGGAAGTTGAAAGATGGGATGAAGCTATTCTTCAACCCATTTGTTTCAGGCCACCTGAAAGCACATTATATATTTGTTTGCCAAAATAGAGGTAAAACCTAACTGGAAAATCATTTATTTATTTCTAAAAGGCCATTTTTGCTATAGGCCATGAGTATGTGCATTTAAAGCTTAATATCTTTCCACTTAAAACATCTGAGATATTTTCCTTTTCTGTAGTATATTTATTTTTTGTTTTTTTGTTTTTTGTTTTTTTAGGAAAAAAGGCAATGGGGGCTTTATAAAACCAGATGTACAAAAGTTTAACATAAAACACATTGAGACTTTCACTACATGGCTAAAGTAAGGTATCATTTCTTTCATGGAATAGGTGCTCCATAAATATTTGATAAGTACATCTGTGAATTTATTGTTGAACTACTTCTCTGGACAAAGCTGTGTCATTTCAAAAGTTGCTGGTAGGAGTCTGCAGTTAGCTGTAGCATCAGGTGCTACTATGAGTGGGTGTGGCACAGCCTTCAGCTGCTGTCTGTGTGATGATGGTGGTAAGGGTTTGACACTCCCTTGTATGCTTTCTTTTGAGGTATTGCACCTGGCATCTTCGCCACGCTCTTCTTGATCCAAACACTCTCCACTCTGCTCTGTGCCCCAGAAAACTGAATTCTATGCACGACCTCAGTGGGTTCCTTTCCCTTTGGTTTCTAGTTGAGTTTAGCAAGGGGAGTGTCCAGAGATTGGAGAGAGAAAGAAGAGGGAGGTCAAAATATCTACCCACAATGGGGTCCCTCCTTTTGATTCACTGCAGCCCTGAAATTGTGGTCACTGCTCCTGTCAGGCAGCACCTCCGTGAGTGTTTCTGTCCAGGTTCTGGTGTCTGCGTCCTCATCCTTCCCCTTCAGCCTTTAGGTATAACAGAACCACCCTGTTTCCCCGTCATTACTAGCCCAAGGGGCTGCACTAGGCCTTGTGCCCTGCTCACTTCTTGGTAAGTTCCCCTTTGTGATCATTTGAGGGTGCCACCTATCTGTCGCTCGTACCCTGATGGATGGAAGGTGTGTTTGCAGTTGTGCTGCTTCAGTGCCTTTGTAGCAAAGCAGAGCTGAGTGGTTCCAGAGGGACTGACCTCTGACCTCAGCTTTAAATAGCAGGGTGTTCTGTACCAGTGTGGTCCCCAAACTTGAGGGTGCTTCAGGTTGTGAAAATGCAGGTTCCAGGCCCCCACCTCTTAACCTACTCATTTGGAGACACTTAGGATGGCTCTAAGGCTCTCGCAATGATTAACCGATTGTAGTTGACTGGACACAGAATCTGATAACTTATAGCATCCAAGCCTGGGTGGCCCTCTGAACAGGTGACTAGTTAAAGGGCACTCGATCCCTGCTTTTTATACCATCATAAGAGATGGTATAAAAGATGAGATTGAGAGTTTGAGACCAGCCTGACCAAGATGGAGAAACCCCGTCTCTACTAAAAATGAAAAATTAGCCTGGCGTGGTAGTGCATGCCCATAATCCTTGCTACTCAGGCGACTGAGGCAGGAGAATTGCTTGAACCCAGGAGGCGGAGGCTGCCATGAGCTGAGTTTGCACCATTGCACTCCAGGCTGGGCAATAAGAGCTAAACTCCATCTCAAAAAACAAACAAACCAGTTGTCTTGTAGACATTCTTACCTGGGGGTAAGTGAGTCAGTAATCAAGAGAAACTCCTGCTGGTTGTAAAGAACTATCCTAAAAAAAATACAGTACAATGCAAAGTCAAGAAATCAAACTAATTTCAGAGAGAGGGGAAGAATTGCTCTTTTAACTCTTTGTTAACAACAGTAAACTGATCCATTAGCGGGAGTGACCAGACTTCCCTGGCTCACTGCACAAGATTCTGAAGAGACCATTTTCCATTATCCAGAAGTAAAGTCCAGTGTCTGTCTTGCCATAGAGTTCCTCAACATCGTCTGCTAAGAAACAAATTCTTGTAGACTACAAAAGTACAACTCAAGATAGGAAATGTAACTGTCTGAATACAGGACACTGTTTTCCTACCAAAAAAAAGTTATAAATAAGTCCTTTGTTAAAATAAATCCCTCAGTAGAGCCCTTGTTATAAGCCCATGAAATGCATAGTCTGTCACTGTCACACAGAGCACACCCAGAAGAGGCATCAACATTCCATTCTTCCAAGGGAAATGCAAAATCAGAGCTCAGGACTCTGAATGAAACAAATAGGATGTGGAGGACAATCAGCGCTGGGTCTGGAAGACATGAGTTCAAATCCTGCATGGACCCATGTCTCCTTCCCAGGCTGTTGGGAGGATTGAATAAGAATGTGAAGCTTTTGGGGCATGTGAGATTCTCAGGGTGTTATGTGCTGCCTCCCACACCCACTCCTACCATCTAAAACATTCCCCACCCTAGTCTCAGCATAGTTAAGAAGATAGAAACTTAAATGGGAAGATGCATTCCGCTGACTCAGCGAGGCAGACCCCAGGTGCCTCCAGCTCCCTGCAGTGGATATTGCAAAATTATAAGACAGAATTTCTTGGTCCCCAGTTGGTAATAATTTACCTCACCTTGAATAGGGAGCCGGGATATTCAGGAGTTCCATCTTCCCCAACAGTCCCATGAGGGTCACTCTGCTGAGGCTAATTGCTTGAAAAGGATAGTATACTATCTGTTTATCACATTTTGTGATTTACTTTATTTCAGGCCTTTTCCTTTTGGTGGTTTGTTGAAAGGCTGGTAGCTGATGGGTTGTGGACGTGAAGGTGAAGGGTCACCTAGGGACAGGGATCCTTCCAGGAGGGCAGAGTTGGGCCGAAGGGGTGACTGACCCAGTCAGGGGTGCTTGAGTAATACTGATTTAAGTGTGTCCCACCCTGTCCTCTTCTGCTTAAGACTTCTGAGCCATCTGGACTAATTTGCTCTGGAAACAGGGAGATGGTTCTTTATGGCCTGTGGAGTTACATTTGACCAACATTCAAGTTCCAGGAATTACAAGCTTGTACAATTGTATTTCATCTCCAAACACAAGCTGGTTAAAAATGAGAAAATTCACTCAGGCTTTGTGTTTTCCACAATCTAAATTAGTTGCTAGTGCTGGGGCACCCTAGGATCTGCGTGGAACTCCCAGAGGACAGCTGCTGGCTGAGGGCAGAACGTGGTAACCAGGCTACACATAGACCCCAGCTTCCTAGTACACTCATCCCACTTCCCCCTTCCTTTTCCCCTTTATCTACAGGGTCTTCATCTGCCCCAGTAACTGTTGTGGGCCCAGAAGAAAAGGAAAAGGCTAGGAAAAGCAGAAACACGTTGGAGGAACTGCTGTGAGAGCCGGTTCCTAAGTGGTACCAGCTACTCCCACCCCATTACCTACTTTTTTTTTCCCACTTCAACTTTTACATGGCCTGGCATTCAGTTATTTTAATTTGAGGTTGTAAATGACCTTTAAAGAGAAAGCATTGGTTTCAGAGGGGGCTGATGACTCAAATGATCAGTGATGCATGTATATGAGTTAATCCAATCAGCTTGCTCATCCAGGGGAAGTGGAAGGGGAAGGGGGCTGTGCTTAGAAGGGTAGTCAGTAGACAATTCAGGTGCCTCAGGAGGAGGGGACCCAGGTGGGATGCGTAATGATGTGAAGCCAATAGGAGGACTAGAAAGAAGGCTGGTGTAGGAAGGCAGAAGGAATGTGAACCACATGGGCCCTTGTTTTATTCTACGTAAAGACTGGTTTGGTAAGGCAGCCTGGTACCTAAGACCAACAGCGGCAGCGTCTAACATGTAGAGTTGCCAGATTTAGCAAACAGCAAAATATAGGACACTCAGTTAAATCTGTATCAGATAAACAATGTATAATTTTTAACGTATGTCCCGAGTTGTGTATCTGAAATTCACACTTACCAGACATCATGAATTGTATCTGGTAGTGTTTACAATGGCTTAGACCTGACATTTGACAGCTCTGTGAGAAAGATATTGTCTGTCCCACTTTAGTGATGGGAATGCCAAGACTCAGAGGGTGAGGTTGACAGCCTCTTCGCTGGTAGA